ATTCTTCAGTCCAAATGGCATTCTGTTGAACTCATAGTGTCCAAAAGGAGTTGAGAAAGCCGTTTTCTTTTTATCGTATTCAGCCATCGGTATCTGGTGGTAACCTGATGCTAAATCGAGCGTTGTAAAGTATTTAGCGTTTCCCAGCTGGTCCAAAATGTCCGTGATGTTTGGTAGCGGAAACGAGTCGCCTACTGTAAGGTCATTTACCTTTCTGAAATCTACAACTACCCTTAGTCTTGGGTTTCCGGATGCGTCAGCTTTTTTCGGCACTACTAACAGTGGAGCGTTCCATTGACTAACGCTTGACCTGATAATGCCAGCATCTAGCATCTCTTTAATTTGTTTATTTACCTCCGCCTTATGCTTCTCCGGCAGGCGGTACGGTCGTACGTTGACCGGTGCTGAATCGGCGCGCGTGGTTATTTCATGTTCCACGGTCGCGGTGCAGCTCAGTGGTTCTCCATTCAAAAGAAATAAATCGCAATATTCTTCGCATATCCTGTGTATAGCCTGTCGTTCTTCTACGTTGAGATGGTCCGTCCGTAATAATTGTCATACTTCCCGATTTCTTTTGCTCGAATACTTCGGAATTTCTTTTCGTATGATGGTTATTTCATGCTTCATTTCCCCCTCTATTTCGTCTATAGTTATTAGCGGCGTTCTTAACTCGACAACTTCGTCGGTTGTATTTATGACACTGACTGGACACACGTAGTCCTCCGGTTGCACGAGGCATCGTCCTATATACACACCGGGTGCAGTTTGTTCGGCTCTTACGATTCCTGCGCTATTTTTATTTGTGGCGGCTCGGATAATTGTTTCGCTGCGCGGCTGTAATCGGATCTTTTCGTATGGTTGTAAATTTAACACGGCATCTCCTATGGTGAGTTCCCGTTTTTTGAAATTACAGTTAACTCCCTGTTTCCGCAAAAAATCTATCCCGAGAATTCCCTCGTATTCCATGGGGAAATCGTCTTTGACGACGTAGGTTGCGTGCTTTATTTTTTGACCTCCTATGTCAATTGTCGCCTGCGTCTTTCCTATTGTCCGCGCTTTGTGTCCCGTAATGCCAATGAGCGTTATTTTTCCTTTATAAATTAGTGCGTCATCTTTTAGATGTTTCAGTTTTATTAATGAAATAGTTGCCCCTGAATCGAATAGCATTTTAACTGCGCCATTCCTAGCTTCGCGCATCGGTAGTGTAATTAAATCTAAACCCGCGCTCTCTTGTAGTGTGGGTCGTAGGTGTGATACGCGATACTCGACGGCGCGTGCCGGGGTCTCTCCTTCCGAGTCTCCCTCGTTGCTGTCGCGTTCGTAACTGCTACTGCTTTGCTCGGAATCCGTATCACCCTTTTTCGTTTTCGGCTTCTTTCGACTCTTGGTTAAATTAACGTTACGTATTTTTTTCCCTCATTCATTCTGTCGCGATTTGATGTCGTTTTTAGCCGTCCGTTTATCGTCCAGCATTCTTCACGGCTGTGTCCGCGTTTTTTGCAGTGGTTGCAAAACTTTTCTGTTGTGATTACGCGATCTGACTTCTCGGGTTTCGGAAGCGCGTATTTACTGTTACGGCATTCTCGCTCGTAGTGCCCCGATTTTCCGCATTTATAGCATTGTACGGCATTTTTTGATGATCGCGACGGCGCTCCCTCATAACGATTTCGATTTGTGTAATTGCTAGATCGCGTTGTAGTTGTGCCTTTACTTTTTCTTCGGCGGTTGCGGCAGTTATTGCCTCCTGCAGTGTTTGGTAATTTCGAGAACGAATAAGTAGTTGTACCTCGTCGCGTAGTCCTATCTGGAAATTCTGTAAGGCTTGCTTCTGTATGGTGTTTAAAATAACTCGCTTCTCAATGGGGGAGTGACCTTTTCCCTCCGTCATAGATTCAAACAACTCCATAGCTAATGTGTCGACGTGCGTTCCGAAAGCTTGCGCGCCTTCATTTGTTCTTTGTTTCAACGAATTGAATTCTATCTGTAGGTGCGTAGTGCTTCGCCTATTCTGATACGTACATTCCAACTGTTGCTTCAGTTCGTCATACGTCTGTATATCTCGCGTTTGAAAATCTAGCATTGCTTTGTCTTTGAGTTTTGTGCATAGGATAGCTCCCACCAATCCTCTCTCGTTAGCAGGGTGTATGTTTGTCATGGCGTACGTGCATGTGCTTAGAAATTCCTGTAATTTATGTTGGGCCGTCCCGTCAAATTCCGGAATCATTTGCCGTGCTTCTTTTAACGATATAAAAGGCTCCTGCGGGCCTTGTCGGTGTCTAGCGTCACTCTCTGTTCGTCCGTACACAACGTCATATTTTTTGTCGTCATTGTCTGGGTCTCGCATTTCCCTCTCGAGGGTGTGTGTGTCCCGGCGGGTTTGGCCCCGTTCGTCAGCGTATGCGTTAATGTCACGAATTTGTTTGCGTAATATGTTTATTTCCGTGAGCATTTCCCTACGTAGTTCTCGCATGCCTCTCATTATCTCACGTAGCATAGGGTTGTCTATGCCGGCCTCCCTATAATTAGGAGTTTCGCGCATCTCGATTTCGTCAACGCGTCTATCTATGTATCATCTGGTATCGCGGGGGTTAGTTGTTCCTATTTCGCTATTAGGGGGTGGTGCATGTACGTCGGCTTCCACAAGTCGAGTATTGTCGCGAGCTATTGTACCGTGTAGACGGTCAATCTCGCGGTCGATGGCACCCTCGGACACATTCATGCCACCGTTAGGCGGTGTTCGCAGCATGTCCTGATACTCGCTTGGATCGAAAATACTACTATCATATGATGTAAGCAAGGATTCCCCGCGTTGTGACCCGTTGCTAGGAGTTCGTCTTACGCGTTCGTTACTTTCTTTTCTTAATTTTTTAACGGTGTCGGTTTCCCCTTTTTCAAATAAACTTTCGTCAAAAATGTTAAACGGAAATTCGCGTTCGGCTTTCCCGTGAGTATATGATTCGGAGTCGCTCTCTCCCGAATAATATGCTTCTAATTTTATTCGCACTTTCCCGAGGTTTTCTAAAGTTATCGGTAGTGCTTTGATTGATCGTTCGGCTGAGTCGCTATGTAACCACGATTTATTCGCTATCGCTTGTCGGGGTGTTTCGCTTTCCTCCGACATTCATGCAGTATATATAAAAAGTTTGATTCGGATTTACATTAATACGGCTACCATTACTATCGCTCGCTCGCTGACGCGGCAGATCATCGCTCGGCAGTGTTGATATGGCTGGCGGTCCGGTGTTGTAAGGTGATCCTGCGGGTCGTTGTACGGTGCGATGCGTTGTCCGTGTTGTCGTAGGTCGCGTCCTTAGGTGATGGCCTACTTCCCGTCGGCTGATGCGTTGTCCGTGTGTGTGTGTGTCTTTTTGTACGTACGGCACGCTGTTGCTTATACGTCGGCTTCTGTTTTATTCGCTTCCCGTCGATTATTATGTTCGACGTGCCTGATTATTAATACTGCTGTATTTTTCAGGTCTTCCTCCGAGTAGTTCCTGATGGTCCTTCGGCGCAATCCCACCGCTGCCACCAAATTGTTGTGTGCCTCGGGAGAGACACCAGGGGGTCGCGCCAAATTGGGATGGGAATCCGGGGCGTCAGGACTTGTCGGGTGTTTGTAGAAAATGCACTGCACTTTTCTTATTAACAATCTTTATTCAAATTCGACCACTTGGCCTTTATTTATTTCACCAATAATACACTGAAGCTTTACCGGGTGTGCGGCACTGACTTTCTATCACTCCGCGTATCGTGCACAACTGCGAGTCGATGCTAAGTGCGCGCGCGGTTAGCGAGACCGTGGTTAGAGCGATTGTTGGTGTCTGCGACTGAGCGAGTTGGCGCGTCTCTACTCTCTTTTTATAATGTTGTTTTTGGAGTTTTCCCGATCGGAAGGGGTGCCTGGCAACAGGTTTTCCCGGTCGAGAATCTAGGTGCAAGCGAAGCAGATTCAAAGTCCTTCTGCTTTGCTTGCACGTTGACCAATTTCTGTTCCGCGTATATCTCGCATTGTATGCGTTTTTAACGCGGTCATTATCTGTCGTAATTCTGATTCCGCGTATATCTCGCATTGTATGCGTTTTTAACGCGGTCATTATCTGTCGTAATTCTGATTCCGCGTATATCTCGCATTGTATGCGTTTTTAACGCGGTCATTATCTGTCGTAATTCTGATTCCGCGTATACCTCGCATCGTATGCGTTTTTTAACGCGGTCAGTGTCTGTCGTAATTGCGGATGTAATACGAGTACTCATTTCTTAATACTAGTTACCTTTTAATAGTTATATCTATATCTTTGGGGGATATAACAATATATAACGGTAGAGTTTGCCAAAATTATTGAGCAATAGAAAAAATGAAAGCAAATAATTTAATATGCAACATACCTAATTTTTCTAATATTTTGTATTTATTATATATTTATAATATACGTTCTTTGCAGAAGTGATATACATTGTGCGACAGGCGTTAATGAGACTGTTAGATATGCGTGAGATTATTATATTTGCGCGCTTAAAGTAATATGCGCACGCGTGTACGTTCAGCGAATAAGTTCACGACACGTGCGTGACGATAGCGATGCCGAGAAGACAAGGAAGAGCCCTCAGGAGGGAGCTCGAAGGTAGGAGATATATCGGAGCAGTCGAGCGACACACACGCGAAAAATACTGTACCCGTTTAACGGACTTTCTGTTTAAAGTAAATCTATTTTCAATTTACTGAATATTGTTATTTGGTGATCCTCACATACACAACAATCTTGGCGACGAGGATGGGATTATTCTAATCTCGCGTACGTAGAAAGATTTATTTGTGCAAGACGTATATTCGTCGCTGCGGCGGATTCGACTGATCGGTGCGTGATCGCCACGTGCTCCGGGCTACAACGGCTCGTGCTACGAGTCGTGATACGAGGATAACGGCGACGCTGCCATACGAGGACGTAAGTCAAAAATCCAAATTGTGGAGCGAAGATTTTAAAACCGCTTAGGGGCAGATCATGGCACAGGCTACCATACCCGGGTCTCTTGCAATCGAAGCATTTGACTCGGCGAATACGACGTGGAAAAGATGGCTGCAACGCCTTCAAGGAGCCTTTATGATTTTCGGAATCAAGGACCAGGCTAGGGTCCCGTATTTGCTGCATTACGTGGGGCCCACGGCATTTGACATGCTAAGTGATCGACTTGATCCGGTCGATCCTTTCACTGGTCGATACGACGACTTAGTGAGATGTCTACAAGAATATTACGCGCCGGCGCCGCTGGAAATCGCAGAGAATTTTACTTTCCACCAGCGGAAACAGCAAGAGGATGAGTCTGTACAACAATACGTTGCCGCATTACGGAAACTTAGCATACATTGTAAGTTCGGCAACTACCTTAACACTGCACTACGGAATCAACTGGTTTTTGGACTGCGCAATAAAAAGGCTCAGAGTCGGCTGCTAGAAAAGACGGACCTGGACTTCGATGAGGCTGTCAGGACTGCGGTTACAATGGAACTCTCCGACAAGAGCTCAGCGCAGATGAAGGAAACGAGTGCGGAGGCGGCCGGCGTGGCGTATCTCAAGGCAGGGAAGAAACCTCCAAGAAAAAATGCAGGTGATAAACGGCCGAAGCAGGAGGTCACGAGATTCGAAAATTCGAGACAGGCGAGTAAAGAAAATAAACAGTACAAAAACACTAATGTAAAATGTTTTAGGTGCGGTAAAGGTCATTTGGCAAATAAATGTAATATAGACAGGAGCGTACGTTGTCATAGCTGTGGGAAACTGGGGCACTTACGTGTGGTCTGCTTCAAGAATACGTCCTCCACTAACAATTTAGAGGAAATGCTCAGTTTGGAGCATGCGAACTATCGCGACAAATTTCTGTTGTCAATGGAGATTGAAGGAAAAAAAGTCGAGTTCGAGTTAGACAGTGGAGCGGCGGTTACAGTAATGAGTGAGTCTGAAGCGATCAAACTTTTCCCAACAGCGACCATTCGTCATACAAATTTGCGTTTAATTTCATTTTGCGGGCGCGCGCTTAAATGTAAAGGATATATTACAGTCAGAGCTAAGTACAATAATTCAATTGTAAACGATTTGAATATTTATTTAATAGGCGGAGTCAGAAAGCCATTATTAGGACGCGAATGGATTAGGCAATTTAATGGGCACGTTTTTCTAGCCTGTAATGCTCAAGTAAATACAGTAACAGTAGACGCAAAAAGTAAGCTACAAGCAATATTAGAGAAGTATCGAAATATTCGCTCTTCAGAATTTGCTTCAATTAAGGACATACAAGTACACTTAAAGCTAAAAAAAGACGCGTCCCCGATTTTCGTGCGAGCTCGACCAGTTCCCTTTAAATTACAAATGTTGGTTGAAAAAGAGCTAGACACATTAGAACAAGCGGGTATTATTGAGAAAGTAGAGTCATCTAAGTGGGCTACGCCCATCGTGCCAATTTTGAAAAAGGATGGAAAAATTCGTATTTGCGGTGACTACAAAGCTACGCTAAATCGGCATTTAATAGTTGATGAGTACCCTTTTCCTGCAGTAGACGAGCTATTTATGAAACTTGCCAATGGAAAAAAATTTTCAAAAATCGACTTGAAACAAGCGTACTTACAACTAGAAATAGCACCCGAGGATCGCGAGTTGCTAACGATCAGTACAAGTAAGGGACTTTACAAAGTAAATCGTATGATGTACGGAATTGCGCCCGGTCCGACAATATGGCAACGCAAAATAGAAAACATTTTACAAGGAATACCGGGCGTGGCAATTTTCTTCGATGATATTGTAATTACGGGCAGTACAGATACGGAGCATTTAACACGACTTGAGGAAGTATTAAGTAGATTACACAAGTTCAATGTTCGAATAAATTTAGAGAAATCGAAATTCTTTTTAGATAAAGTTGATTATTGCGGTTACGTAGTCGATAGGGTAGGTGTTCATAAGGATAATCGAAAAATCGAAGCAATACAGAATATGCCACGACCTAAAGATGTATCAGAAATACGGGCTTTTACAGGCATGATAAATTATTACGGTAGATTTATACAAAATTTAAGTTCTATTTTACATCCTTTAAATAAATTATTGCAAAAAGAGGTACGTTTTGTATGGTCTAAAGAATGCGAAACGGCATTCAACAAGGCTAAAGCGGCGTTTACAAGTAAACAAATGCTGGTTCATTTTAACCCGAAATTACCGTTGGTTTTAGCAACCGACGCGAGCTCGTACGGAGTCGGAGCCGTGTTGTCACACCGATATCCTGATGGATCTGAGAAGGTTATTCAATTCGCGTCACAAACATTTTCAAAAGTACAATCAAAATACTCCCAAATCGACAAGGAGGCATTTGCAATTATTTTTGGTGTTAAAAAGTTTGTTCAATTTCTATACGGAAACAAGTTCACGTTAATAACAGACCATAGACCGCTTGTACAAATTTTCTCGCCTTCTCAGAGTCTGCCTATATATTCAGCGATGCGTATGCAACACTATGCTATTTTTCTACAAGGATATAATTACGAAATTGAGTACCGAAAATCTGAGAGGCATGCGAATGCGGATTGCTTATCCAGACTTCCCGTGGACGCGCCACAAACGGTAGCGGATACGGTAGATGCGTATCAATTGGAAGTAATCGAAACCTTACCTGTAACGGCGAGTAGAATAGAGATAGAAACACGAAAGGATAAAACAATAAGAGAATTACTAGAAGCATTACAGACCGGGAAAGTAAAACACAAATCAAAGCGTTTTAATATCGAGCAAAACGAGTTTAGTTTACAAAACAATGTAATTATGCGTAGATCGCGTGTCTACATTCCAAAAACGTTACAAGCTGAAGTATTAAAAGAATTGCATTTAGGACACTTTGGAGTAGTAAAAATGAAAGGGTTGGCTCGTAGCCATTGTTGGTGGCCAGCCATTGATAAAGACATAGAAAATTTGGTTCGAAATTGTGCAAACTGTAATAGTCATAAGAACAATCCTCCAAAGGTGGAAGTACATTTATGGGAAGCGCCATCAGCGCCAATGCAACGCGTACATGTTGATTTTGCGGGGCCATTTTTAGGAAAAATGTTCTTGCTCATGGTCGACGCTTTTTCAAAATGGCCCGAGGTACATATAGTCCAAGACATTACTGCAAAAACGACAATTGCAAAGTGTCGAGGAATGTTTGCAGCATACGGATTACCAAAAGTAATAGTAACCGATAACGGTAGAACTTTTGTTTCTTCGGAATTTCAAAGATTTTTACAAATCAATGGAATTGAACATAAACGTACTTCACCCTTTAATCCTGCAACAAACGGTCAGGTAGAACGTTTTGTTCAAACGTTCAAACAAGCATTAAAGCGAATGAAGTGCGAAGCTAAAAATATTAATTTTGCATTAAACAAATTATTATTACAATATAGAACAATGCCGCATGCGTCAACTAACAAAACCCCAGCGGAAATGTTTCTAAATCGGAAAATATCCACTAGACTAGACCTAATGATTCCGCAAAACAGTAATTTAAATACTCATTATGATACTATAGAAAATGTAAAAACATTTGCATGCGGAGAGAGAGTTGCGTGTCGGAATTATTCCGGGGGAGAAAAATGGAAGTTCGGTGTAGTATCGGCAAGAAAGGGGAAACTGCATTATACAATCCATTTAGACGATGGCCGCTCTTGGGAAAGACACGTAAATCAGATGCGCAAAATCGGAAAAGATACTCCTACAAGCTGTTTAGAAAACGACCACTATTATTGGGATTCTGAACAGTCTCGGGAACCGGTACGCTCGAACAGTCCTGTAACGCTAGACACGGAGAATCCTCCGGAGGTGCTAGAAAATGTTGCGCCAGTTTCCTCACAGACCAACCAAGATGTTAATAGGGAAACTATATTAGAAACTCAGCGTCGCTCTGCTAGAACTAAGAGACGCCCAGACTTCTTTTCCGAGCGTACAGAGAAGTAGAAGCTTTCGATAACAAGAGAGGGTGTTAGATATGCGTGAGATTATTATATTTGCGCGCTTAAAGTAATACGCGCACGCGTGTAGGCTCAGCGAATAAGTTCACGACACGTGCGTGACGATAGCGATGCCGAGAAGACAAGGAAGAGCCCTCAGGAGGGAGCTCGAAGGTAGGAGATATATCGGAGCAGTCGAGCGACACACACGCGAAAAATACTGTACCCGTTTAACGGACTTTCTGTTTAAAGTAAATCTATTTTCAATTTACTGAATATTGTTATTTGGTGATCCTCACATACACAACAGAGACAAAATAACAAAAAGATTTACAAACCACAAGAATTACCTCTGAAATAACTTTTTTTCCAAGAACTTGTCATATGTGGCTGCATAACGAAATTGCTTGCACACGCATCGAAAGTTGATGATATCTTCAATAGTGAGTACATTATCGTCGAGAATGTGGCTTATCATCTCCTCTGGTAAGCACGTTATCTTATAATCAGACATTATAAAAAACGAAACACAAGAAAGGAATATAAATTAAAGTGATTGCAATAAACTATTCGCGTAATTAATTCCTTGCTTTTTGCAGTACACGAAATGAATCTGCCGATTACAAGAGCACAAATGTGTGTTTGATGTATACGAGAGACGTTTCCACACTACAGACGGTCTGTTCTTTATTATTAAATTTGACCCCAAATTTTATAGTCTTATTGCTTGTTTTCACTAAATTATAGATATAAGGACTGGCGACGGCATGCGCAGGAAATGTAATTTAGAACTAGCAAATTTACCATTTCTTTTATGCGCTTGAAAGATAGAACGTAGTAAATAATTTATTTATTAATTATTCTTTATTATTACTATTCATTTATGTATTGTTCTCTATTTAAGCTTAATTAATAGTATATTGTGATACAAGTGCGAGAAGTTGGCAATTGTCGTTACCAACTCGCACGTGTATCACATACTACTTTATATCATGAGTGCGAATTTTGTGGAATGAGAGGGTGGAAGTAGGCGAGGGAATAAAACGCAATGGGGGGGGGGGTCCAGGGGACGAAGCCCCCTGGTCAGGGGTGCAGGGGAAAGCTTTATGAAATATAAAGAGATTTTATTTATATCTTGTTTTTACAATGAAATAATAGGCAAGCAAAATAAAAATAAGTCTTAATTTTCTTCTAATAGAAAATAACAAAAATAAATAAATAAAGTAAGGTAATCTTTGGTTTCTTTGATAAGTAATAACAAAAAAATAAAAATAAAGTAAATTAATCTTTGGTTTCTTTAATAAGTAATAACAAAATAAAAATGAAAATAAATTAGTCTTTTTTTCCTTCAATAGACATGTTGTGTATTGTGCAGTTATTTAATGTTAATGAAATATATTTTGTTTGGCGTGCTGTTAATATTTGAGAAAATGATCTTATATTTTTGACAGTTGTCCAGGTTATAAATTTGTTGTATGCAGCTGTATATTTTTCTTTTGATTTTTCAGGCAAGAGATTTTCTATGGTGTTTCTTGCCATTTCTGTAATTTCTGGAGGTGATTCATTTTCACTGTTGTCAAATGTGATGTTCGATGTCATATTGGTTTTTTTATATTGACTCGTTTCAATTAGATTGATGCAATGCAAAAGACTGGAATGGGGATGTAGTGGCGGTTGCGCGCTGCGAGATGGCGTTAGGAAGAAAGTGTTTGTAGCGATTGTAGCATTTGCAGCGTGAAATAATGAGCTTGTAGCGTGAAATAATGGGTTTGAAGCGTGAAATAATGAGTTTGAAGCGTGAAATAATGGGTTTTGAAGCATCTGTAGTGTGTTGCGTGTGAAAATGGTTACTTTGCGAACGGAAAACAGTGCGCAAAATAGGCATTTACGCGCACGCGTGATATAAAATAATATATTTTTCCAAATTTATCAGTTATTTCAAATCTTACTAATTTCCATGTATTTGTATTATTTATTATTTAAACTTAATTAAAATAATTTTATTTCAAGTTATCATTTATTTTATTAAATTTTACCAACTTTTATGTATGTATATTTTACAATTTACAACTCCAGTGCTGTGAATTGTCAAATTTTCTCGATAAGAGAGAAAGGGAAAGAGAGAGATTTACATTTTTCATTCTTTAAATCTTTACAGATAAAATTTTCAGCTAAAATAAAATGCTCGACTTTCAATACAAATATTTAATAATTGATGTATGTACATAGTTTATATAAGACTATGCTACAATTTTATGTAGTTTTATTCGCGCGTATATACGTGGTGTATATATTCTAGAAATCTAAACTCTATATAAGAATATAAAAACTCCATGGATTAAATGCAAATTCAGAATGAACGGACTATGCGAACTTAACGCAGATGTTTGTGAATAAATCTCAATTCGAGGTTTTAGTTCCTATGTTTTTCTCTGATCCCTCTAAAAAGATGTAGAAAAGCAAAGTATATCGGTCCAGAAGTTGCTGAATTGGGAACTTAGGAATTAAAATAAAGATCCTAAAATTCAAAACTAAGTTGAGAATTATTCCTAAATAGTCTTATTGTTAGCACTATGCTAAGCAAATTTCGTGCCTTGTGCACAATTATAAAACATAGGAGAAAAATTAATTTTTCTTATCTAACGCACAAACCTTCGCGTTCGGTTCGCATACCCTTGTTTATTTCGAGACTAACTTTCTTATTCATTAAGTATATTTGTTCACTTATTTTTCAAAATTTTATATTAATCACTAAAAAAAAACTAAATAATAATATTTATATTTATCGGTTTTTCACTTACTCTTTTGGTAGCTTTTGGAGAGGTGCAGAGATATTATGAAAAATTAAAATAAATATCATTAATTTAAAAGAATTATTTATCTTATTAAATTTGTCGCAAATCTTGCTTTTCAGAATTAACTTAAATGTCTTTTATTTCCAAGTGTGGAGTATATTTGCTGTTCTAAGCATGTGTGTTTCAATTATGTTTTTTTATATTTTCAGATATATATATAAAAAATTTGGTATAAGTCTTTGGACAATTATCTGATTTTAATATATTTCCTGATATAGAATAAGAAGGCCGCACACTGGAAACATTATGTATAAATTTCTTTATGCCTTATTTTTATATGATATATCACAGATGTATCGATAGATAATAGGATAAAATTTTTATCATAGATATCGCATGCTCCACGTTGTTTGTTATACCTTCTAAAATAATGCCACATCCATTGAAGAGATCTTCTGCATAATTGATACGATGAAAACATTCTTCGTTAATAGTTATGTTACTTTGTTATGATTTTTATTCCATTAAATTTATGTTCTTCTTTCGATTGTCTAACGAAATAAGTTAAAATATTTCAATTCACATCATGATAAATGCGCCGCATAATAAAATCAAAGAATATTATGTAGTTTACTCGCGCGTATATACGGGGTGTAAACTATTATAATCTCTAAAAACTCACCTTTAAAAAAAGGTAAAAAAAGGCGACCAGTTAAGGGCACGCCATTAACAAAAATTATCCATTGCAAACCCATGTAGAATCCTATCCTATTGCAAACCCATGTAGAATCCTATGAAAAATTAATCATTGCAAACCCATGTAGAATCCTAGGCAAAATTAACCATTGCAAACCCATGTAGAATCGTACCCATTGCAAACTTATGTAGAATCCTATGAAAAATTAACCATTGCAAACTCATGTAGAATCCTATGAAAAATTAACCATTGCAAACCCATGTACACTTCAACATAAACTTCGAAATATTACAAATATTTTATTTTATGAAATATTTCAAACAAAGTGATAAATATAAGGCCAACTTATCGAGCTGAATATTCGAGATGTTCAGTCAACTACCATTTATTACATGTATAAATTATAAAACTACAGTCATTATATTAAAACTAACGCAAATTACAATCATTCTATAAACGTTTCGACCGCACGCGGTCTTCTTCAGTATAATTATTGAAATATAAATTCTTACAATTCACATAATATCGAAATTTAATTATAGTTATTCAGAATCAAGAGTTTTTGAGCAATTAACGCGTGTTTCAATCCGTCCTGTCCAACAATGTTCGCCTCGATATGATCCCTGATTTTGTTCAGATCTCGGATAGTTTCATCGTTAATATGCGAGAAATTAACCCGTTCCGTAGGCGCTGCGATTAATAAAAAATTACCGATCAACGTATGTCCAAATTATAATATGTATCCCCTACAATTGGTAGTATGCTTACCTATCATCGTTCTTCTTGACAATTTTGCTACTTATTAACAGTTATTAAGGATGACACATAACAAACCAACAATACAGAAAGACAGCTCATTTTAAACTCTACTTGATCGGAGAGCGTGCGTGTTTATATATGATCTAATATCTATGTTTTACTCGTTAATGTCCTATTTGTCCTATTATTATTTCTTGTTCGCTAATATATCCAAAATATCAAAATACGACTCGCTAAGTAACTCAGTATCTTTGTTTAAATTTAGTCCATTTTTTTGTTCCTTGATATGTAGCATCTCAGAAATGAGTCTTTTATAATAATTATTTTCGTTGTCCATGATCTTAACATTGTCCCAATTAAAAGTATGATGTTCATTTATTATGTGTTCAGAAATTACTGAATGTTTCGTTGAGTCCAACCTAATATTATTTTTATGTTCTTTTATTCGCGTCTGCAATTGCCTCTTTGTTTGGCCTACATAAGATGCATTACAATTATTGCAACTGATCTTATAAACCACATTCGAATTGCATGGATGTTTAGTTTTATCTTTCTGCGCTTTAATAATATTATCCAGTTTGTTGAGACATCTATACCCTACCATACAATTTTTATTTTTTACCGAGGAAACAATCATTTCTGAGATCCCATCTATATACGGAATGACAAAGAATTTTTTATTGACCGAGTCATTTCCTATACTTTTTGTTCTTTCTATGTTGGCCTGTCTCTCTATAATGCTCCCCTTAGATATGA